GGGGGGGGGGGGGGGGAGTCAGAAAGATGGGGGGAGAGTCAGGGCAGCAATCGCCTAAGCAGACTGAATGGCAGAGGATCAGGCAGACAACACCATCTGCTGGAACTGTGGCAGAACAGCAACACTGGCCATTTTCAGGGACAAGACCACCCTATTTTAAACAAATGTGCATATGTTAACAAATAGGGACACAACATACCCCTAAGCAGAGAGTCTTGTGGGGTACCTGATCCCCTAACTCATGGTTTCCCTGGGCTTTGAATAGTGCCTAGGGAAGTGTGACATGCTTACGGTCTCTGAACAGCTCATAAACTATCCTGGGTTGGGAAGGCTGGGGGAACTTATTTGCTTAAAACACACATCTCGCTTCCCTTGTAGTTTCCTAGAATTAGACACTGAGCTCTTGAGAGACTCCCCAGCAGGATCTTCCAGTTAAATGATGGTGAAACGTGAGAGAGCAAGGTAGATACTCAGCATGGTGCTTGCAATGCATTCCTCCTAGCCCCCTCTACAACGTGGATCAAATGCTGGATACAGTGCCACTGGAAAAGTGTAAAGGGGGTAGGGATGGGTTAACAGTGCAAGGTGCCCAAATGTATTCATAGTCTAGCTGGTTTCTTGCTTTTTTTCTACTCCCATCTCTGGCATAGCTGTACTTCCCACTGGTCTGGAGCAGCTGAGGGGGTATGGAAAAGGTATAAATGGGATGATGGTTTCCCACTTATACTCTCATCTTCCACTGCCATAATTTCTCACAGCATAGCTGGGATGTGAACTTCAAACAGTGGGATGTAGCAATCCTGTGTCTGAATATATTTAGCAATCTCTGTGTTACTAGCTCTCTTGATTTTTATAGCAGGTTTCACAGTATTTGGGGGGTTTTTTCTTAAAGTCTCAGCTGCTGGAGCCAAGTGATTGGCTCACTTGGAAACTTCACTTTTTTTTCTCTTCTTTTTTGTATATTTCTAGTCTGCATGAATAGAGAGGAAAAGCCTGAAAAATGACTGGCTCAAAGCCTTGAGTATAAATGAAAGAGCCCAACGTTATTGATTTTTACTTATAAAAAATTCTGGACAATTTAATTCTTAGGTCCTAATTTATGAATCTTCAATGTTTGTGGTTGGCAGTACTAAAGAACGAGCCCAGGACTGGTGCACAGAAGTTCTTTAACACCTCTTTTTTTGTGGAAAGCCATATGGCCTTAAGCAAATGACTTCACTTTTTTTTTAAACCTGGCTAGACAAAGCCATGTCTGGGATGATATAACTGGGAATGGTTCTTGCTTCGAGCAGGGGTTGGACTAGATGACCTCTTGAGGTCCCTTCCAACCCTAATTTTCTATGATTCGATGACTTCTCTGCCTCACTTTCCCCATCTTCTGTAAATACTTCCCCTGCCAGGTCCAATGTAAGGATGTATTTAATCAGTCTGTGCAGTAGTACTTTGAACACTATGTTGTTTAGAAGCTAAGTATTCAAATTCACCTGTTGCCTGTTTCATTTTCAATATGAGATTTTTGGGGTGGAAGGTTTTTTTAAAGGACTCTTTGCCTTTTCCAAGATGTGCCATACCCAAAGCAAGTCCACTGGAACTCGGTCATGTCATTCCCCTTCTATGCAGAGTACATTGAATAGCAAGGCTGTATCTCTTTCTTTGTGCAGGAGCAGCACCAGGTGGGACTGTCTCGGACCACAGGCCCTATGCAGCCTTCTGTACCACCAGGGTCCAGCAATGTGGTCACAGGTACAAGCCCTGGAGGTCCCAGTTTCCTGGGGAACCAGCCACAAGCAGCCATTATGAAGCAGATGCTGATTGAGCAAAGGGCCCAGCTCCACGTGATAGAACAACAGAAGCAACAGTTTCTACGGGAGCAAAGGCAGCAGCAGCAGCAGATCTTGGCAGAGCAGGTACTTTATCTTCTTCAGCTTTGGAGAACACAATGCCCTGCACGTAGGACAGGACAAGCATGGGGGTGGGGAACAGGCCTGTCGTCTTCCATATTCATGAGCTTACACTAATTTATTTGGTAAGCATATGGTCCAGCTGCACTTTCGAGTTTTTGGCTTATAGCACAGGTTCGATGTTTTAATTTTGCACCGGTGTAAAACTGGGGTTACGCTTCCAGAATCGGGAATCGTGTTGGTGGAAAACCCATGTGAGTAATGAGAAGCAGTGTACACAGAATTGTGCAACGTGTTTCATCCTGTTTTGTAACTGGAAAACAAACTCAAATGTGCACAAAGCCTACTTCTGATTTTAGGCCAATTTCACAGCAGCATACACCCATGCACATTTACTCTGCTCTGAAGGAAACCTGAAGCTGGACCTTGGTTGCAAAGTCAGTACCTTTGCACTGTTATCTTCAGTGGCATGGCAAGGGATGGTTCTGTATTTCAGAAATAGGTTCTGAAATTGCATTTGATTTTTAGACACTGGTCAAGTTAACTCTGACAAGCTGTTGCCTCATCCTGACATCATCACTCCTACCCGCACAAAGTGGGTCTGAAGCAGCCCAGTACAAACAGGGTTTTACCCCAATGTGGCACAGGTGCACATCAGAACACAAGGGGGTTAGTGGGTAACTGGACTCCTAGAGTATGCCTGTATCATGTCCCTAGTGCCCTCCTGGAGGGCCACTCTCAAACGTGCCCAGGAGGGCCACTCTCAAAGATGGCCTGCTCACTCACTTCTGTTCATGCATGCAGACACAGCAGTGAAGCCACTCCAGGGATGTACCCTACAGTCACTTTCAAGCACACCAAAGACAGAAAAGACTTCAGAGCAGCCACAAGGGACATATCCAGAGTGGCTTCACCACATATTTCCAGGTTTGGTGTGAGTAAGCGGGAACAAACGAGTTGGGCATGCTCAGGAGCATCGCTCACAGAGGACAAGGCAGTCAGGGTGTAACTGAACCCCAACTTTTTTCTGTGTTGCTCAGTTTACCTGGGCTCTTACCTCCCTATCACCTACACAGAAAACCTCTTGACCTAGGTGTGTAGGCTAGTTTACACCTGAGAGATATACATTAGAACCTGGGCTCTGCTTTAATTTGAGATGGAACCTACCCCCTCTACCAAAATTGCTCAAAGACTGATATCCTCCACTGCCCTTTTTACAGTTCCCTCCAAGGGATAGACAAGTTCTCCTACAATTGACAGAAATGACCATTAAAAAATCCTAGAACATCTCAGTGCAAATGACTGTCTCCAGACACTCACAGGCAAGGGCAGAGACAGAGAGACGTACATAGACTATGCTGCAGGGGTGATAGCTCCTAGATTAGGCTGACATAGGAATTCAGCTGCAGGGACCCATCATTCAGATTGTTTGTGTGATGATGAAATATCCTAAAAACACTGGAAAACCCCAACTGCATGTCAGGTGTATCACACATGACTGAAAACTGACTAAACCAATGGCTGTCTTTGATATTTGTCTTCTTTTGGTGCACTGGAAATAGTATCAAACGATTTTTCTCTTTGTATTTCACTCCTGTGATTTTACAAGTTGTGCCATGAATCCCATACATTTTTTTTTATTCAGCCATAGGCTCTTCCTGTGCACTGGGTGAATCTTTATGTTGTGAATGGCAGCTTATCATGAATATTTATAATGAGTATCAGTGTACAGTAGGTCTGTTTTCATTCCTCCTTCTACTGTATCTCCACATGTGTCTATATCCTTGCTATTTAAGTGGGTGCTCATTCTGCTTACAGCATATGAGGAAATAAAACATCTTAGGGGTCATATGAGAGCTGCTTAACAGAGCACACCATAGCTTCTCAAAGGAATATACGTGCACATGTGTGCACACACACTCGCACACATTTACACATCATTTAGCTTCCACTCTACTTGTACTATCAACATTCAATTGTGTTTTAAACAGCCAAGCATATTCACACACTGTGACCATGAAGTGTGAACTCAGCACTGATGAGCAGCTTAGGATGTGGACATGTGTTACTGTCACTCGCTATCCAAGAACCATTCACTTAGCTTGGATGAATTCTACAGCATGTTTGTGGTGCTCTCTTTCACAGTAAAGAAAACAAGTAGTGGAAGAAACAAGGCAAAACTGAATAAAAGGCAGGAGGGGAGGCCTAGTTGACTATTTTGTTTGGCTGGAGATGGGCACCAGCACCAGTTCTGTTCACAACCAGGAGTATCTGGAAGCCAGAGGCTTGCTTCTATCTGTTGTAGAAGTGTTTCCAGCAGTCTGGCTCCAGCAGTTTCCAGGGCTCAAGAGGGTTTGGATCCATATTTTTATTTGAGTCCCACTTCTCGCGCTGATAGACATCTCCACAAATCTCCCCTCCCATCTCCAGCCTCCTCTTTCCTTGCCTTGACATTGAAGACAATGATGCTAGCACTTGGGAGGTCAACAGGAAGCACTTGTGAGCAGGGAGAGGTGATGTTAGCATAAGTGCCTATTCCTATCTGTACCAAAAAGAAACTCATGTGCTGAGTGCCCCAAGTACTCTCAGAAGGGCTCTTCACTTGAGGCTACCGTATGTGGTGCCAGCTGACATGCGGTACTTGTCTCTCCCAAAGAGCCTGTTGGAGAGGAAACACCACTGGTTAGTTGCAGCATATTATTGTTGTCGGTGCCATTATCAGAACTTTAATTAATCCACCTACTTTGTCTCCTTTGCCTCCTTGCCGTTCCCTTCCTCTGGTTTCCAGCAGTTGCAGCAGCAGTCGCATTTGCCTCGACAGCACCTCCAGCAGCAGCGAACTCCGTATCCAGTGCAACAGGTCAACCAGTTCCAAGGTAAAAGCAAATAGCTTTGTACAGCCTGAGAAGCAGTGCTGTGCTCTGCAGCAGACAGATGGGTGTCCATCCCCTCCAAGCCTCCAAATGTATTGCAGGCTGGAGAGATGGCCACAGCAGATCAGTCTCTTTGCCTTTTGCATACACAGACACAACCACAGAACAGTACTGCACAATTTTACATGCTTAGTTAAATATTTTGAGTTATTTCCAATAAAGTCTGATCATTAAGAACAAATTCATTTCTCCTCTGTTCTGTCTCTCTGACTCTTGGATGGGGGGAGGGGGTGTCAGGTCTCTTCTCCCCACCTCCTCTCTCACTTTATTTCAGCCAATTCCTCACCTTCCCTCTTGTTTCTGCTGTACTTCCTTCCTGTCCCCATTATCACCAACACTCCCCTTCCCTTTTAGGGAGGGGCTTTTCACTTGGTCTCTTCACAAGAGGTCATCTTAATCTGAAGAAAGCATAGGTAGAATATACATGAGATAGTGGTGGGAGGGAATTAATTAGCCCAGATGCAAATGGAGATTGCTTATATTTGAAAGCTGCAAGGATTTTTGCAAAACATTCATAGATTGTAGGAAAACCTAAGGGAGGAAAATCCTCTTTTGGAGAACAAGGACTTTGCATTGACTCCTCATACTTAGAAAACTCAATGTCTTCATTAACTAAGTTAAGGACTAAAACAGGGGATACTCAACTCCAGCCTGTGGACTAGAATTGGCCCATGGAGCCATGTCATCCGGCTTGCTGGGTTTTCCAAGGGTCTGAACATGTGGTGGCAGGGGGGTGGTGTAGTTTCAATTACTTTTCCCCTGCTGCCAAATTCCCAGACCCTTGGGAAGCACCATGGGCTGGAGAGCATAGTCCTCCCTGCTAAATTGGGCATTTAGGGACAAGGCAGCAGGGGGCCTGATCCAGCTGCACAAGGCCCAGTCTAGCTGTGCAAGGCTGAGGTGGTGTAAGGCCCAATCCAAACACTGACTCCCAGTTCCGGCTTGTGGACCAACCCACAGGACCAAACAGTTGAGCACCACTGGACTAAAGTGTTGTTGACAGTCAGTTTTTTATGTAGCACAGAGTAATTGCAACAAACATCAGGAAAAGAAATGAGGAAGGCACGTCACCAAGTGAACAAAGGGCTAGATCCTCTGCCTGTGTAAATTGACAAGGTTTCAATGAATTCATTGAATTATCTAATGTTCCCATCTCTGGCAACATAATTCCTATATGAGTTTCAAGAACACCTGCTAAACCATTGGCAGAATGGCAGGGCAGCACACACTAGCTGAGAAACCTGCACACAAAAGAATGCTCTTTCACTCAGCTGAGAAATATGCTACCAAACCTGTTGGTTTAAAGAAAATACAGTCAAACTCAGTGATTCCCAACCAGGCTACTGGGGTGCCACCAGATCTTGTGAAGGGTGCCATGAGGTGTGAGAAGATGAGTGAAGTGTTAGGAGATAAGCAGTTAAACTAAACTGCTAGGCCCCTCTGCAAAGAAGCAAGCACTGTAATCTGTAAATTAGTTTTTGAAGTTGGGTGCCGCTCAATTCACAAAAGTTATGGAGGGGTACCTCGAATTCAAAATGGTTGAGAACCACTGGTGTAACCTGACCAAAGAGGGGATTCATTTTCATGTATAAGCCAATTAAAAAAAATACATAGCTAAAATCTTCATTCAGTTACAACCATGGGAACCAATGGACTTTACCAGAACTGCCTGGATGCAGCTGAGAGGAGACCTTGGCTCAGTGTCTTAAGATGTTTGTCTCTCTAAAAATACTCTGATATCTGTCCATCTAACCTATACTCACTCCTGTTTCCTACACTAGTATAATAGCAGTTCTCAAATTGTAGCGCATGGTAGTTGGTATAGGCTCTTCTGCTTGTTTCCAACTGCTAAATGGCATTATAATACAGCTAAAAATGCATTAAATACTTTCCTAATACTGTTTTTCCACTTAAGCCCTTGCTGAAGCCATTACAAAAGTACTATACTCTTGCCTAGCAGAAGGGAGAGAAGGCGGCTGTGAAAAATGCTGTGAAAAAAATTGAGACCAATCACAAATGGTGGAGGAGGAGATCCACCCTGGGAAACGGTTAAGACTCCCCCAGTGCATAACATTGAGAAAATAGTTTTGTCAGTAATGTAAGCAAAGGAGAAGCTGTCAGCTCCCCTGCTTCGCGGACATGAGATCTAGACAGGCTCTTTTTCACCTTGCAAAATGTCCTGCAGGCTGACACTCATGTATATTGCGTGCCATGGAAGAACAGAGAGCCAAGAGTAATTGGAGGACCGTACAGCAGGCTGCTTTTATATTTAAATGTAATAATGTTTGAGCTGTGAGTAATTGTCTGCATCCTCCTGTTGCAGCATCCCCTGCAGAGGATTTCATTGTTTTAGTTCAGTATAGTATTGACTCGAAACCACAATGAACCCTTGGCATCATCAGAATTCCTGTAATTGTTTTTAAATAAAGATAGTAAATACGGAGGCATATTGGCTTCCCAGAAATCGATAACCCCCATCAGAAAGACACAAGCGTGGTTCAGTTATCTGCCACGGTGTGGAATTTAACAAGGTTAGGATTTTCTGGTTTCCCATCACTGGGCCAAGGTGGAGTACAATGTGCTTATAGTATTGATTCACTAATACACTCTCTCTGTTTTAAATGTCCACAAAAAACAATTTTTCTTCTTTCCATAGACTTAATCAGTAACAATGATATAGGAAATCCATTCATTTTTGCCTCCTGAGCTATTAAAAAATTGATTGGCCTTCTGAGTCTGACATTTCCATTTTCATGGCTCAGTTTTGAAAGACAACAGAGATATTTAAAAAAGATTCTCAAATGGTTAAGTGGAGTTCAGTTACCCTGCTTCCAGTGAAGTTCAATGGGATGTGACAGAGGCAGGATTGGGTCCCACATCTGAACAGAATAAGGCTGCATGTGCAGCTGAATACAACACAAGGAAGGTCAAGACCTGTATGCGTTCACATTGAAAAACTCCACATTTCCCCAATGAGGGGATGATTCAGTGTTATACATTGGTACATAATAAATGCTTCTAGGATTGGGGTAAAGTTTTTAAAAGCCTCTAAATGCCTACATTAGTTTGGAAGTAGGATTTGGGCTCCTAGGTCACTGATAGGCCTTTGAAAATGTTATTGCTGGTCATGTTAATCTGATAGGATAACCCTGCCTCAATATAGCTACAGAGCTCAGTACAGTGGCTATGCAGCATAACTGCAGCTTCAGAGCCTCCAAGTTTAACAAGAGAACCTTGTACGGTGCTTTATCATGAAGACAATGATGGACTGAGCTGGATCATGCACAGAATCAAGTCGTGCTGATACTTTTAAGACAGGAAACTGAAGGCCCATGGATCTCTATGGGGACAAATCCCCAAATTGCCATAAAGGAGAATTGCTTAGTGAGTAAATCATTGGCCTTTAACCTCTCCAGGCCCATTTTAGGTCTTAAGGGAAATTAGCTTAATGGTCTGTATTGATAGTATTCTCTCCTGAACAGTGTTTCACTTCACAAATTGAATACGTAACGTGATCAGCAATCCTCATTTAGAGTGGCACTAGAGCTATGTTGCCTCTCACCTTCAAGGAAAGGGACTTTGCTAGTCAGGGTTGAGGTCAGAGCCAGAATTGTACAGGGATGCACATCACTACCAAAATGTAAATAACAAAAGGGCTAGAGCAGTGGTTTTCAACCTTTTTTCATTAGCGGACCCCTTTGGAAATTTCAAGCGGAGGTGTGGGGATTTTGAACTTTGAACTTTAAGTGTGGGGATTCCCATACTTTTGATTGATCATAGTCATTTTTTGCGAACCCTTTAGACATAGTCTGCAGACCACAGGTTGAAGCGTGTCTGCCCAGGGTGGTTAAGCTTCTCCACTCTCCTTCAGCTGTCAGAGGAGAGAATAATTTATTCACTTCAAAAGCGAGGAAATCTGGAATCCTCCTGTGATCTAAAGGGCTCCTTCAAACTCTTGTTTTTGCAAAGATGCACTATTGAAGTTTTATGGGGTTTTTTCTCTCTCCTTGCTGTAGGTTCTCCCCAGGATATAGCAGCTGTGAGAAACCAAGCAGCGCTTCAGAGCATGAGGACCTCCCGAATGATGGCCCAGAGTGCAGGCATGATGGCAATGGCACCTTCTCAGAACCCCGGCACAATGTCTACTGCGACGGGTCAGTCCGAGATGGGAATGGCTCCTTACAGCAACACATCTACCAGCCAAACGGGAATGTACAGTATGAGCACAGGGATGAGCCAAATGTTGCAGCACCCAAACCAAAGTGGCATGAACATGGCACACAATGCAGGCCAGGGACCAAGGCAGCCTGTCTCTGGACAAGGGGTCGGAATGATCAGCAGTTTTGGTCAAAATATGCTGGTGAACTCTGCTATTCCTCAACATCAACAGCAGATGAAAGGACCTGTGGGCCAGATCTTACCTCGGCCACAGGCACCAAGACTTCAAAACATAATGGGAACTGTCCCACAAGGAACACAAAACTGGCAGCACCGAGGACTACAAGGTATCCCTGGAAGGACTACCAGTGAAATGGGGCCATTCAACAATGGCACAACATATCCAATGCAGCCTGGGCAGCCAAGGCTTCCCAAGCAGCATTTTCCACAGGGAATTAACCAGTCAGTTGTGGACACTACTGGGACAGTAAGAACCCTGAACCCAGCAATGGGAAGACAAATGCTGCAACCACTGCCTGGGCAACAAGGAACAAGTCAGGCAAGGCCAATGGTTATGCCTGCCATTAGCCAAGGGGTTCCCACTATGTCTGGTTTCAGTCAGCCTTCTGCACAGCAGATGCCAGGTGGTAACTTTGCTCAGAGCAGCCAAGGCCAGGCTTACGAGAGGAATCCCACTCAGGACATGTCGTACAGTTACAGCAGCGAAGGAGCAGGGGGCTCCTTCTCAAGCCTAGCGGAGGGTGCAGACCTTGTGGACTCTATCATTAAGGGTGGACCAGGGGACGAGTGGATGCAAGAACTCGATGAGCTGTTTGGAAACCCCTAGGGAATGGCCGTGCAGTTTTAAAATTTTGATTGTTAATTTAAAAAAAAAGAGGAAAGAAGGAAAATGGGATGTCGCCCCATCTACAGGGGGGTTGTTTTTTTTAATCTGTGCAAACCGAGCTGATCCGCAGCTAGCTGTGGGAGAGTCAGGCGGTGATTAAAAAAACATTGACGTGTCGATATCGCAAAACTTCCACACAGCAATTGCCACTGCATGGCAGTGCCTGCTGCACATGTGTATGTGAGGGAAGGTTGGGGTGGGGCGGAGGGACAAAAAAGCAGCTGCTCTCTACAGATGAGGAAAGCCAGCGGTCCCCCTGCAGCAAGGCACTGTTGCATAGCGATGTAGTGTTCTTCCACCCTGTTGTGCTGTAATCACTGCAACTTTCAGGGCACCGGAAGAGCCAGGTCCTTGGTTTAGGAATAGAAACTAAGGAAGTTGGCAGGTCACAGCACAGGCCAGGTCAGAAAAGTGAACTGATCTCTGGATTGAAGCCGAGAGCAGACAGCGAGGTGTTCTGCTCTCTTTGGTTTGATACAGAGCAAGGACCATGACACCTGCTCCAGGTGATGGTAAGAAAATGTGCGGAAGGGGTCGCCATTTTCACTGTAGAGTGATAAAACAATTAATATAAAAGCTTAGCAAAACATAAATCTGGCAATACGTAGGGAAGGACGGTTTGATTACAGGACTGTCACAGGAGGCTAGCAAAGATAGCCACTGCTTAGGTGGGTAAGTTAACTCACTGAGCTGCGAAGTCTCCTTTCAGGCTTAGAACATTGCTTCTTTATCAGAACACAGCTCTGCTGCCAAAACAGCCGAGAAAGGTGTGAAATACAAACAGACTACAGCGGAGATCTCTGTAGCTTCAGCTGAACCCCTTCTTTAATTCTTCCTCCTCAGTTTACTCGTGATTCAAATGGTTTTTTCCTCACCAATGAAGGAAAAATACACAGCTGCAACACAAGCTAAGCCCACTGCACTTGGTCTTTTTTTTCATCTGAAAAATAGCCACCACAATTGGGGTTGGAGGTCAAGGGGTGGTGAGGGGAGCAGGAAAGGATGCCAGGCCTCAGAAAATTAAAATGCGTAACTGGGGTTTGAAACTCTGAATGAGTATCTCCCCTTCTGAACATGCAAGATTAGTGGGTATTATTAGTCTGGGGCTGGGATGCCTGGACTGTTGATTTGACATTACATGCAGCTTGCTTTTCTGTCTTAAACAGAAGTTCAGTTTAATCTCCCTGCTTTGCTGGGGTGAATTCACTGGAGTGCCTGAAAAGCAGGGATCAAGAAAAGACTGCTGTAATGATTGTCCACAGGGGGGAAACTGATTGCACTGGTGATCACAAACACGGGATCTGCCCAAATAAGTTTTTAAGGCAATAGTAACCTATCACCTGAGAGGGTAAATGTGGACCTGGGCTGAGTGTGTAACAAACTATGATATGTTTTTCAGAAAGTTGCTTTTAAAATAATAAAACCCAGCCATTTGGGATGTCTAAAACTAGTCTTTGTGAGCCACAATGTGTGCTGTAGTGAAAGCTGATTAAATCATCCAAACCTACCAATTGGTTTGTCCTCAGCTGCTTGGCTTAGGTCCAGTGATGTGAAGTGCTGAGCCATTCAAGTCAATGGGAGCTGAGGGTACGTAGTACCTCTCAGTGCTTTGTGCTGAGCCCTTTGTTTTTATATGGATCCCTAATATGAACAGAAGCAGTGAATGGGGGCAAAATGGATCTCTTGTTCCCCTAGTGCCCTGCTGCTTGTTCACTCTTGTGCAGCAAGTAAGTAACTCTTTGAATGGCTTACCTAGATGAGGGGGGAAAGGTGTTTTTAAATGCTGCTGTGTATACAGGGCAGGCTCTGTGTTTAGCATGGGTTAGCTGGTCATGGTGAGCTTCCAACTCACCTGTGGAAAAGTGCAGCTTGCTTTTTTCAGCACCAGTGTTTGAAAATGCATTAGTGAACATGTTTTAGCTAATACACTTGTAAGATACACCTTCCAGGTCCATTCCAGTTCCCACTGAAGCCAGCAGGAATTCATCTTTCTATTGAATTCAGTGGGTATTGAAGTGGACCCTAATTCTGTAAAAGAAGTGAGCACCAGCCAAAGGTTTCAGCCCACAGGCATGTTGGGGTTAGGTGGATCTTAGTCCTG